CTCACCTCACCTCACCTCACCTCACCCCATCTCACCTCACATCACATCACATCACATCACCTCACCCCACCTCACCTTACCTCACCTCACCCACCTCACCTCACCTCACCCCACCCCACCTCACCTCACCTCACCTCATCCAACCCAACCCAACCCAACCCAACCCATCTCACCTCACATCACCTCACCTCACATCACCTCACCTCACATCACATCACCTCACCTCACCTCACCTCACCTCACCTCACCCAACCCAACCCAACCCAACCAAACCAAACCAAACCAAACCAAACCTCACCTTACCTCACTTTACCTGTAAACATCCAAGTTTGGACCAGGCAAACCGGTGGTGAACTTGCACGCTGTGGCAGACTATGACGCACAACAATCAAGGTCCATTGTAACCATCCAATCCTCAGACTTCTCCAAACATGGGTACTAGGGATCTGTTGAGTTCCGGTATCACAACAAGGGTTCTTTACAACACATGGCGTGTTGGCAGAATAGTAGAGCTATTATTAATTATGTTTAGCGATAGATCAGGGTCTTTACATGAAGCGGCAGTGTTGATAGGCACAAGAAGTAGCTGTTAACGCATGCCACATGCTTGTTACTTGAACCAGACATACGACTTACATTGCTTTCGTAGACAGATCATTTTCTTTTCAAGCACATGTGTACTAAAGGATTTACTACCTATATAGGATATAACTTTGGCAGTTTGCAAGGTGTTAACAACAATATATTTTGTCAAAGACTCATGTTCCGCTGAAAACATCAGAACTTTCCATGCCAACCAATGTCTTTTCAGAATTTTATGTTTTAATACGGATTCTTTAAATTTACAACCTTAACATATTTCCTGTGATTTCTTACACGGTGATTTGTTCACGATATGTGCACGGCGGGTATGTATAAACGGCATGTGTTTGGCTATAGCATTACCCGTGAGACACGAGCCACGTGTTTCCATACTGAAGGTGCGCTGGTTCACCTTTGTGCTACGTTACCTTCATATCAGAGACACAATAGCTGTTATCATACATATTTATCACTCAGTGTCAAGTGTCGGTCTTAGTTCGTGATTACATCCTGTCTTTGTTATTTGGCAACATTTTAAGACCCAGGGTGTCGTTTTAAACTTTCCCCAGATGGCGCTGAATTAACTCAGGTTTTCTTTTCAAAACATAGTAAGAAATATATTCACAGATAAAATCATATTCAAAGTCATGACCAGAGGCCACGAGATAACGCCGAACTTTTAATGTATGTCAGGAGTTGGAGTTTTTTTGGTTGTGGTTGCATATGACAAATATAACAATATTTAGTTACAACAATACTTTACTCGGAAAAATGGTTGATATATCAAGGAAAGAGAAATCATAACTAACTAAGCCTTTTATATAATTTCAAATTATTGCTGATGCTTTATTAGACAAAGGAGGCGGTCGGGTAGCCCAGTGGTTAAAGCGTTCGCTCGTCACGCCGAAGACCCGCGTTCGATTCCCGACTTGAGTACAATGTGTGAAGCCCATTTCTGGTGTCCCCCGCCGTGATATTGCTGGAATATTGCTAAAAGCGGCGTACAACCATACTTACTCACTCACTATATGACAAAGACGGGACATGTGCCTCGGGCATCGGCGCGTCACTTTAAAACCTGCGCTTCAGTTGTTGTTTTAAAAAAAAAACTATTTTCAAATTCAGCGTCATATGAAGCAGACCCTGTTATCCATAAAAAATAATGCTTGTCAACTGGCGGACATTGTATTGTAGGATCGAGTCGAATGTGTGCCTTGTAGTGCCTGGTGGTATTCTTGGTACCCTCCTCACGTTTGAGACAAATGTGTCCGAGATACATTTAAGTTTTTCTGCAGTCTCAGATACATTCTTGTGAATAGAGAAACGACGAATGCATCAAGGTGTCACTGGCTTTCTGATGTCATTTCTAACAATCCCCACCAGCAACTCGGAGGAGCGTTTGACCAATGATCTGATTAACAGCTGAACAATTTGATATCGCCAGATCGAATGATTTTGCACATCTCTGATATAGACATGACCTTGAACATTGAAACTCGAGGTCTAGTGACAAAAACGTACCAGTGAGTGAGTATACTTTTACGCTGCTTCTAGCAATCTCAGGAACACCTCAACGGGGGACTTGAGTTTAAAGTTTCAAGAAGTACCCATGAATCGAACCCGAGACTTCAGGCTGACCAGCGAACGGTGTAACCACAGGTCCAAGATCAGACCAACTTTGTCAGAGTGAGTGAGTGAGTGAGTGAGTGAGTATGGTTTTGCGCCGCTTTTAGCAATATTCCAGCAATATCACGGCGGGGGACACCTGAAATGGGATTCACACGTTGTACCCATGTCGGGAGTCGAACCCGGGTCTTCGGCATGACGAGCAAACGCTTTACCACTAGGCTACCCGACCGCCCCAACTTTGTCAGAGAGCGACTTGCTAAGGACTGAGGGGAGGACATACGACAACGGGTATTTAACAGGGGGTATTCATTGTATTGACAAAAATGTATGTATGGGGAATCGAACATAGTGAGCTAACGCATGGGCCATTGGGCCACCAACCACACTTATTTGTAGGGATATGTCTAACATATACATACCATTCCAGACCTGAAACAAAATGGACACAATGCTTTTGTTGTTATTCTTTATGTAATCAAGTCATATCAGACGTAACTGCTTTGTGATATCGTTTATACATTCTGTGAAATATATTCTGACATGTATGATTATGGGTAAATCATTTTTACTTCACATCATGTCACTCTACGAGAATAGCGAAACTCTTTCCCGATATCGTAAAGATAACACCTGACCTCAGGTGCCCTTTGACCTACCTGCGAAGTCAAGGTTCGTGGTTTGACCTATTTAATATGTTAGTTTGTTTGCGCAGCGTGAAGAGCAGACCGGAAATGTTCAACCAGAACTGTTGTGTCAAGTGGGCTTTAAAGGGGCAGTTCACGTCCACGCAGGTAGCATAACACACAGAAATAATACAATAATAATCACGTTCACACAGGGGTCTTAAAGATGTTTGCAAATATGACGATTTGGCTTTTAATATTGAAATTTATTTATAGCAAATATTCAGCCAATATGCTTTGTAATACTCGATGTGAGTGAGTTGGGTTTGACACCTCTTTGAGAAGTTTGTTTGTTTGTTGTGTAACTCCGCACTCAGCGATATTCCAGCTATATAACTGCGGTCTGTAAAAAATCGGGTCCGGACCAGACAATCCTATGATTGACGTCACGAGCATCAATCTACGCAATTGGGATACGATGACATCAACCAAGTCACTGGGCCTGAACACCCGATCCCGTTAGTTTCCCCTGACGACGAGCCTCAAGGCCGGGTCCAGCATTTTTAAAAGGGGGGGGGGGGGGGGGGGATCCATCTTCTCTCGGATAATTTTACTGCCTACAACATACTACATTTGGTTTTCAAAAGGGGGTCCAGACCACCACCCCCCACCACCCACACCACCACCACCACCCGCTTGACGTGGGTTCGAATCCAAGACTCGTCTCTATTATGACCCTTTGCAGGACACCACCTGCGCTCTTCGAGATTTAGGATTGTAATTGTACTAAACTTATTCATACATAGGAAATATCATAAAATCCTATTTTAATTTAAAGACGCATTTATCTCTTAATATAGGTCCGAGACTATGTACGAAGGATCTCAGGTGGTGACTTTGTATGTTTAAGTCCTGCAATCGTGCATAACAAACTGAAATAAACTATATGGGTTGGGTGAGTGAGTAAATATTTGCTTCTGTGTCTTAATAAGCACATTGGTAATGTGTTAAAGCTGGTTTGCAGGTTAACAGTCCAAAACGAGTCTACTATAGGTTATTGACTCTACATGACAGAGCTATGTACTTGGGCCGTATGTAGCCAGACGTAAGTTCAAGTCGTTAAATCGGGGGTTGTTTATCGTTATACGGTTAACTGATATAGCGAACTCGGGGCGAAACCTTACAGAACCAGTGAGTAAGTGAGGCAGGATTTAGCTTCCCTAATATTTCAGTTCAGTGTAGGGAAAGATAATGTTGACGGTACGATTGGGATTCAGCGTCAGGAAGGCCTCCAGCGTGTCAACTAAAATGAAGATCCGCACCACTATCAAAGACCGGTGAAGACTCGGGGTAGAATAGGTCTTCAGCAAACCATGCTTGCCGTAAAAGGGGACTATGCTTGTGGTCAGGCGCGCTGACTTGGTTGATGCATGTCATCTTATCTCAATTGCGTGGATCGATGTTCATGATATCATTCACTGGATTGTCTGGTTCAAACTCTCGATCATTTACATACCGCCGTCATAAAGGTGGAATAATGCTGAGTGTGGCGTTAAACAACAAACAAACAAACAAACCACTATCAAATGTATTTCAGCTTTATGCATTATATTTGTTATATTTGTCTTCGCCACTGCCAGGAATATATCACGGCAGTCGATAAATAATAGAGTCGGGGTCAGGCACCGAAAGAAAAGATCAACGCTCAAAGCAATCAGGATATAATGACACACAATACACAACTGAGGACCTAATTTACCCAAGAATCACCAAGGGGGTAGAAGAAGTAACGAAAAACGTCTCTACTATAGTATTCTTCTTGTGTCAAATAAATTTGTCCTGATACTTCACAAGTGATTATAACATGTAGAGAACGATTTGTTTACAGAATATTATCAGCCAGCCGAGTCACCGCCTGACCGCTCAATCCTCATTTGAGCCAACCTGGTGTTTGAGGTACTTGGATCCTTGTCTATCCCATAATCCCCCAGGGGTATTTATGAATTGAGAGGAACACCAGATTCTTGCAATACCAAATAAGACTTAAATTATTTATATGGTTTGTAAATCTCGTTGACAACATGTCTCCGACCCCATGGGGCCCCGTCCCCCTCCCGTGGCCAACCCGAATACGCTCCTGTACTCGTGACGCTGCACCCCATCGACAGATCAACTCCGCGGTGAAGGAATATCCCACAGTCCCGTGAAGCTTCGCGTCAAGACACAAGAAAGCTCACATCACGGCAGTTGACGAGGTAGGAAAGTCAAGGTCTCTCGTTAACAGAATTCTGCCTTAAACTACAGTTTGCCGAAACTACATTAAATCTTGATAGGGACTTTGTGGAAAAGAAAATAGTTCCTCTTATCTCGACCAGGATTAGCGAGTGGACCGCCATTATGGACTAGTCAATTTCTCTCGCTGAATTCGAGATCTTGCGTGATTTGGTCTTCCTATATCGGACGTGCGTGTACCACTACTCATAAACCCGAAAGCTAATAATGTTTTTTGTTTGTTTGTTGTTTAACGCCGCACTCAGCATTATTCAAGCTATATAACGGCGATCTGTAAGTAATCGAGTCTGAACCAGATAATCCAATGATTGACATCATGAGCATCGATCCCGTTAGTCGCCTGTTACGACAAGCATAGTCGCCTTTTACGGAAAGCATGGGTTGCTGAAGACCTATTCTAACCCGGATCTTCACGGGTGTTAATAATTTATTAGGTCGTAAATAACTGCATATGTTCACACATATAACACTCGAATGCACCTGTATCTACAATTACACAAAACGCAAAAGCCAAACCGCTTAGTTTTTTGTTCAACATGAAGTCATGCCACGCGCATGCCCAGTACATTCATGTATATCATTCTACAACCAATAACAGTGGGGGATATATAAACAAAATGGCTTACGGCTATAACGATAGTTATCAAGATGTAAGTTATGTCTGCAGTTGACAATATACATTGGTTTACCGCCATATACAAATCAACAATGGTATTCTAACCAGCTACATAATTTTGATGAAAAGGTCTTCTTATCGTTACCATGTGGGACTGTTATTCGTTATGGCGTTGAACGCGCGAGGGTGCAAGTTCCTGGCGTAAGTTCTACAGCATGGTTTGAAAAAAAGACGCAAGCAGAAATTCACTACACTTGTGTTAAATCTATGTGTCTATTTAAGCAAAGTTAATGGGGATTCCGTGCATCGAGGGCACCTGTACCCAATAGTTGAGGTCGAACGGACTTCTCATTGTGATCTGGACTAGGTGAACGGGGGCGATTGTATAGCCTACTGGTTAAATAGTTCGCCCGTCACGCCGAAGGACCGGGTTCGATTCCCTTCATGGGAACAAAATGTGAAGTACGTTTCTGGTGTCTCCCGTCCTGATATGGCTGGAATATTTCCGAAAGGCGGCATACAACACACTCACTCACTCATTGAATGGGTATGACTACTGGTGGTTGACCAGCCATAAGAAACAGTCATATTTGTAGTCTGGCTGTGTAGGTGTGTATTCTTACCCTTTAGGCGTGATTCGATTCTTACACACGTTTGTCAGCATCGTGTATACTATAATACACTTTGAGGAGCGAACTGATATCGATGGGGGGCGGTCGGGTAGCCTACTGGTTAAAGCGTTCGCTCGTCATGCCGAAAACCCGGTTTGGATTCCCGACATGGGTACAATGTGTGAAGCCCATTTCTGGTGTCCCCCGCCGTGATATTGCTGGAATATTGCTAAAAGCGGCGTAAAACCATACTCACTCACTCACTGATATCGATGGAATCTTGTGAAGCTTACAATGGCGAAACCGCTCCTTAATTATCCAACCAATCCACGCCACTGACCCAATCAACCATACTACTCACTAACTCAAAATCACCAAGTTACACACATAATAATTCACTCACTCACTAACTCACTACCTCGCCATGCATGTGTGAGGATACAGCGAGGAGACTGCCGATGACTTCCAATCTTCGTTTTGGATGAAGCCCAGTTCCACTCGGGCTCCAGATTAACGCAGCATCACATTCGTCACCACTCGCCCCTTTCCGTAACCTGCAAGAAGACTTGTTCCGGAATAACACGAGTTGGTCACGAATGGCAGCATCAATGAAACGGTGACGCGAGCATACAACAGAGCAGCCAGGGACAGCAGATTCAATCTTCTGATTTTCAAACCATTTACCTGAGTATAACCCTCCCGTATAACATATCGATCGCTTCATTTTTTCTGATTTATACCACACAATCTTCGAGGACGAGATACTGAGACTGCGTAAGTTTGATTATAATAACTGTGTCCATTACCAAAACCCTTTTCATAATCATAACCAGAGTCCAGTTAACGATTCCGACCCTACTACGCGTAGTGAGTGAGTGAGTTGGGTTTTACGCCGCTTTTAACAGTATTCCAGTTATATCACGGCGTGTCAGCTTAATGTGGGAGGAAAGCCCGAAGTGATGCAGGTCTCGGACGTTTACCACTTCGGTGAATCCCACGAGCACGGGTATGGTGCTGACAAACATAGAAACATAATCGGGGCAAACCGGGATTCGAACCCACAATCATAGGTTTCTAGCGTGCCCAAGGGACGCAACTCTGCACAGCGAATCGCTGCGCCTTAGACGACTGGGCCACCCGTGCCCCCTACTACGCGCAGAATACGATGTTCAAGATGTATCCTTGTATTTCTTATTTCTCCCCCCTCTGTACTGCCCACATCTCCCAACTACGAGTGAGTGAGTGACAATAATGCTAGTTGTTTTATGCCGCAGTCGAATCGGTTTCCAGCAAACCGGGTGGTTGATAACATGAGCACACTCCACACCGGTGGGATTCAACGCCCTTTATTTGCCAAGAGACATATTGTGACCATGTGGTCCTCATTAGTGTGTTTTTTTATGACAAGCATGGGGTGCATGGGACCAATTCTGCTCGCAATCCCTACGGGGTCCCCACATAAGTAAAAAAGAACGCACAAACATTTTTTCATCGGCCATGTGTAGTTAGACGTACCCGGCTAAACACAGTCAGGTCTTCTGCATGTTTCTGATCGTTAATCTGTCTCGGCAGAAAGCACAATTAGCTCAAACGGAGAAACAATAACAGTAAAACCTGAATACAATCACTTTTTATTCCATAGTGGCCTGCTTCAACGCATTTCGTTTCGCAAGGTACTTTTTAAAATGTTTGATTTAAAATTACAACTTCGTGTGTAATTACTCTTTTAGGATGGATAGACCTTTTCGCGAAAAACAACCAATATTGTTCGAAAAGTATGGTCTTCAATATGGGTGGCCTCCTGGCATTGATAAATGATCCCCATGTGCAAAATCAATATTCGCTGTTGCATGTACGAAGGGAGGTAACTGGTTTTAGAATTATAACGGTAACTGGAATTAAATGTGTCCGCACGTAAGCCTCTTGTTACTACCGTCCTCCATACACAAAAGAAGTATATCTTCGTATCTTCGCTCTGTTACGTAAATATTTACGATTTAGATAACGCGCTGTTTTTGTTGGCCAAAATGTCGAAAGAATTTGGAGTGATTTTCACGATAAATGAAAGTGAGTGACTGACAGAAAAAAAGGGCTAAATAATACTTTACGCCGACTGCTAATCTGCCGGCAATCGACCTTGAAAAGAAATAACTTAATTTTCTACAAAAGAAACACCCCTTGTAACAATTAAGACAGGCGGGATGTATGTGCCGCGAGAGTGTGGATCGCCTCATTAATTATGGCACCAATGATGGAGGATATATTAAGGAACAATTCCAGAACATTGATCATGTCATTGACGCAGAGTAGTTTTTTAATGTTTAAAGGCGGGCGGTGGGCTGCACATCACGTGACCTTTTTCTAGACTGGACCCAAAACAGGTTGTACAAAATATATTGGATATTCGTTAATTGTTGTGATTTGTTCCATTTTTTTGGTAAAAAGGTATGGTATGGCAGTACTATTTTATTGTTTTTGCGTACATTTAACGAATCATTTGTCATTTTGATGACAAAATATGACTGATTGAATCTGTCGTTCAAAATATGGCAACTAAATTAGCTAAAGGCGTGTATTGAAAGATGGGATTACAGTATATCCTTATCCGATATTTTGGGTTTCAAAAATAATTATTATATCAGATCTTACTCTAAAGAGGTACTACCATACTCTATCGGTTTGGTTTTAAGACGTGATTAACACTTTTTTACGTAAATAAACTTGATGAACGTGCAGATAAGAAACATATGTATTTTCAATTTGAACGAGCGTGGTTAATTGTTACCGTTTGCTCATGCAAAAATTTGCGATGATGCTGCCAAAGTAATGCTTTTAAAGTAAAGAAAATGAAATATATGTGTTAACATTTTAGCAACACTCAACCCTTCTAATTAAACTGTAATCGTTCTACAGCTGGGAGACGTTTTTAATGAACATGTGCAAACGGAACCTGTATTGCTACGCTTAATATGTGGTCATGTTAGATTGAATTTGAAAAACAGGCATGTCATAAAAGTTTAAAAAATTAAATGAAATTACATTTTATCACGCCCATCTTAAAAGTAAATTATCCGAACCACCGAAATCTTCCTCGTACCGGGTAAACAAGTTTACGTTTCCCCAACAAGCCGCCATGTTGTCTTACTACACAAGCCTCGTTTTGAAGCCCTAACAGGAAACCAACAGAGTGGGTGGGTATTGTAATAAATAAATTACAGATTTGAAAACTGGTTGTTTAAATATATATGTATAATCTCAATTTGTTTAATAATACCTAGTAGTGATTATTATTTTGTTTTTATTTATCATTTTATCATTATTTATGTGTTAACGTTATACATGACAATAAGCATGTTCATAGCACGTACAAAACCATTATGCTTTTTGTAATTCAAGATGTAGTCTTGAGAGTATCGTTTACAGTTTATACTCACTTCGGAAGAAAAGAGATAAGTGTTTTGTTTTAATTTGTAGATGCTGTGTTGAGGATAGTGTTGGTGTATATTCAAGCAATTCGTTCCATCTTGTATGTGCGACAATAAGAAAACGAAAAATAAAAAGATTTATTTTATAAGCAGTCATTTTGGCAGGACAGTTAGAACGATTATGTATGAGCGTCCCACTTGCACTTATTAATGATGTATTGCGAATCTTATCTCAATATTCAAAATGTAATACATGTGTTTAAACTGCCTGTATTCTAATCCACGGGAGTCGGGGGTGGGGGTGGGTGGGGTGCAATCAAATTGCAGACTTCGCAAGGCAAAACTAGACTCATCGAATTTAAACAAATCATTTATTAGCTAAAGCGTTTATCTTTAGAACGTGAATGCTTTTTAATTGTCTCTTCTCTCTTACTTAAAAAATTACCACAAGACGGGTTTACTCTTTTATGTCCTAATAAAATCACAAACATCACAGAAAATGGTTTGTGGGTTTTTCTAAATGCAATTTCAACTTTCTAGCTTGAGAAAGGAGTAACCTTTGTTCGCTGAATACCAAGCGGTGATTTGGGAAGCTGGAGAGAGACACGTGGGTGTTTAGACTTTTTAAAGACAACTGTCAAAATATTTTGACATTTTGATCTGTGGGGGCAATCACGGAGTCAGCACAGAGTAGGTATACGCTGTCTTTTAATTGGGTGGTAAATGTAAAAGAAATTATTTTCTTAACATTCACTGCAATGTTTTAGTTGCGGGGGACGTTACGTTAGTATCAATATTGAGATGCTGGCCCGAAATGTCTGTTTCGACATTTGATTGGCGTATTATCTATTCATTACTGTTGCGTTTCCGGTATTTTGGTAAAGCAAAGACAGAGATGTTATCAAAGTAACATGACCCTTGTTACCGGAAGAGAACAATGTTACGTGATGAAATTAACTGCATTGGAAGAACGAGTCTACTGCGAGGGATATTTGGGGGCCACCACATGTTTCATTTTTTTATGGAAACATGAGAAATACTGTTATGTAAATAATCCGACACGTTCTTATGACTGATATCTAGTCATATATTTTGCTTTCACTTGCTAACTTTGGGTTCCAAACGGATTATTCATCTTCTGCCTTTACCATCATCTTCGAATATCTGTTAGGGTTTACTATCTGTTCGTGTTTAAAAATAGGAAAAAGTGCTACTTCAAGACGTCTTAACTAATACATTTCAGACACACTTTAGCAGCACCCCTACGTTTGTGTTTGTTATGAGGCCAAAACACACAAGTGTTGAAAACAAACACGTCAACTGTTCATGCATATGAAAGCAGCTGATAATGTTTTAATGATTTCCAAACTTGTAAAGATCCTTCAGCTGCCATGATCCTGTGTTTCTCCAAAGTAATTATTTTGTTAAAGGATAGCCTTCACATACTGTATTACCTATGTTAAGAGCGACGGGTCCTTAACTTAGTAACGGGATCGGGTGGTCAGCCTCGCTGATTTGGCTGATGAATGTCACCGTTTCCCAAGATTGATGCTCATGATGTACATCGGGTGCTATGTGTGAAGTCCATTTCTGGTGTATCCCGCCGTGATATTGCTGGAATATTGCTAAAAGCGGCTTTAAACCATACTCACTCACTCACTCATTCATGAAGGTGAAATTGGGTTTAACGTCGCCTCCAAGATTATTGCACTTATATAGCGACGTGCATGCACGTGTGTGTGTGGCTGCTTGTACTAGTCCGGACTAATGCCGATTATCTACAGGCCGCTGGGATATTGCTGAGTGCGGCGTTAACTAACAAACAAACAAAGTCCCTCTCCTTATTGAGGCCGGTTCAAATTCATGTCCGAAAGTGGCAGGTGAAGCGGCTTAAGGTCACACAAAACCAAATGTTTTCCCATAGACCTCTTCAGTCACGTTATATTTTTTGTTTAAATTACTAGGTATTCAAAAGCTATTAAAAGTACATGTGTGCAGTATGGCATTAAAGCAGCAATAAAAACATAAAAATTTGTCATCATGTTAAAATAGATAGCACTAGGTATTGAAAATCATGGTCTGTTTATAACTATATGGATGTAAATGAAAAAATGTGAAAATCTTACACAACATCATCCAGTCACAGCTGCCAGGTGTCTCGTTTTCGTATTCGTCACCAGTCGCCCCTTTCCGTAACCTGCAAGAAGACTCGTCCCCCTATCGATGAATGTTATGTGCGAAAATACGACAAACCAATCAGAATGCGCGTATGATTTCAAGTTCTTCGTCAAAGAATCCCTCAGAAACAACTTTTAATTTAACATATGTCTTACATCTAAATATATACCCAAGACACAGTTAAATGTGGTCAATCATACTGTAAAATTATGCATGTCCCGATGTGCTTTAAATTGCATCTTAAATATATATAATATATGGGGAAATATATGTGAACCATTACGCAACGAGTTGACAATTGTTTTAGGTATGCCCGTTTGCGCTTAGACGGAACCCGGTCGCAAAAATGGCCATGAGAGGGGCACGAGTCGCTATTCGGCTTGTCCCGGAAAAACACGAGTTGGTCACGATTGTCGTTTTCGTTGACTGTGGGAACAACTGATTCTGATTTAGTGTAGTAGAACAGCAACGTTAATAAATCAGATGTAATGGCGAGCTTAAGCTGACCGGACCTAAGCTCTCATACAGACCCTGGAACAAATATATCGAATTCAGCCCACGCAAGTCTATAACAGTGGAAAGTCTAGACCACTGCAATTTGTAATGGGAGTTTTAAGGAGGCGGTGGATGTAATTCGGGTTTGTTGCTGAATATTATAGATCGGCAATAACATTATTGTAAAACATGTGATGTGAAACAACAATCAGATCGAACATCGCCGTCGGGACTTACATATGGAACGTATGTATCTTTAAATACATCTTGTGTACAGTGACGCTGTGAAGATCCGGGTTCGAATTGATCTTCAGCAACCAATGCTTGTCGTAAGAGTCGACTAACGGGATCGGATGGTCAAACGGGACTTGGATGACACATGTCATCGTGTCCCAGACTGATGCTCATATCAATCACTGGATTGTCTGGTTATTTACACTCAGATAAATGCAATATTGCTGACTTCGGCGTTAAACAACAAACAACAGACACAAATCATATATAGCAGAAACCTTCACACAGAAAAAACCCTGCAGCTATTCCGCGTTATTCCAGATACCCCTTCAAATTCTTCAGGGCAATTTATATAGGGATCTTCTACATAAATAAATATAAGATATATCAATCTATCTAGTAATATTTTAACCTGGAAATGTGTTAATCGGAAAGATTCCAATATGAACAGTATTGTCCAGATTAACAGGGTTTTCTTATAACGTATATGATCATCCTGACGGTGTGACGGTGGAACAACAGGAAGTGACGTCATCCTAATCGGTGATCTTCACAATAAAATGTTGAACTCCAGTGTCTACAACATTTTTATCAATTTATACCATTCTTAGGCAATATGCTTTCATTCTGTCAATATGTTTTCGGTCACCACGGACAATGGTTTATGCCCTATTGAGCTAATGTAGTTGCCAGAAATAGATTTATCAAAGTATGCTATCAAGAGTAGATATTTTTGTTTTAAGTATGTTTCCTGATGCGTATTACAATAAGAAATGGTTTACCTTCGGGAACATCTAAAAATATGTTCAACAGATTGTTGAAACTGTTTAAGGCACACAAATTGTGTAAATTCCGTTTTTACATCAAACACATGCCAAAACTACACAAAGAAGTGAAAGGGGAGTATAGCTCGTTTCGGTAAGAATGTCCAAATTGACACCCCACCTGCGCAATCAAGGAGATCGCAGTGATACAAATTGTTCAGGATAACGTACACCACTAAAATACGTTGAAGGTAAACACATTTAATCTACACGCTCTTAAATTTAGAATATCTAATCACAGTGTTTGTGAATATCAGCAATAGAATCCACTATTGACAAGGGCAAATCCCATACTGTGGTGGCATAGTTCATAAAGTGCTGAAATATTTCTCTAAAATATTTGTTTTAAACAAATTATATCTCGAAATATTCCGTTACCACATGTCCTCATTTACACAAGAGAATTTCAAACAAAACACCCTTTGTCAGCACTTTAATATAACAAAATCAACCCGCTGCTTGCATTAATAAAAAAACTGTCAAAACGTTCAAATATTTTTGCAGTGATAAAGTTGAACGCTCACCTATCCAGACAAGAAAGAGATTCCTAAATTGTTAGCAGTAAGTATTGTAATTAATCGCAGAAGCCTGAAGCTGCTTTCCTGTTGATAGATCAAGCTGATCTTGTTGGTATGTCGAGAAGAATATTGTCGAGACTGTTAATGACCGCTGTTCGCTGCTACATTCTGTGTCGACCTGATGCCTGTTGACAAGCAAATTTGTCTTGCGGCATAAATCTTCGTCTAAAAAGGATTTGTTTTTCTGCTCGGTAGAACTTTCAGAGATTTCGTGACAATATGTTGCGTAGTTGTTGCCAGTAAGACATAACTGTGTCCGTTGACAAGTGATGAGTGAAAACAAAGACTCACAATAATGTTCCGATGTATTGTCAAATATACTTCTTCCCAATATACCGGCAGTGTGGTGCTACGAATTATCTGTCTGTTACGTGCAGCCGGGCCGTTTTTCAACCCTGTACCTATTTTACAGAACAGGGCAGAAGTGGACAGAATGCAGAATAATCGCAGAAAGGGATGCGAGAACGCGCCACGCGTGTTTCCAAGACAATTTGTGACTTTTCAAAAACTACCCGATAAAAGACATACCATACAGTCGGGAAAAGGTCAGTGAGTGAGTCAGTACGCTCCACAAGACTAGAGGGATGACTTCAACTTTCCAATAGTCAACCTTCCCTTTATGTCCAGCAATATTCCAGCAGCTCCAGCACTTGGTGTCTACATTTCACAACTATTGAGGTACAATCGAGCATGCTCTTTCTACCAAGCTTTCAAAGAGCGTCACGCGACTCTTTCTCAGAAGTTGTTTGATCAAGGTGACATTCAAGGCCCAAGTAAAGCTATCCAAAAGTTTCATGGTCGACACATGGAGGACATTTCCAAATTTGACACATCGGTGACAAATATGATGTCAGATGCAATTCCCTACTTTGACTTGTACCATATATTCCCGTGTGTTTTTTTCGAGTGAACAATTGACTTGCCTTTGCATGTGTTTGTGACGGGTGCTACAGATGGGGCAGGATACGCTCACCTTTTCGCGAACACCTGGTATCATTACTATTTGCTAGCGATTCATAAACACATGATCATGTTATAGTCTGATTTTGGCACTGATTTCTGTGAATAATGGAAAGGGCGTTTGACCAATATAGCTAGCATATATCTGACTTCATCTACATCAGTGGTCCATATGTACAGACTGTAAAGCTCTGTTCAGCATCTATCTCGCTACATCTGCTACTAATGGTACACGTGTAGACTGCAGTGACCTTCCTCTAGTCAGCATCTATCTCGCTACATCTGCTACCAATGGCACACGTGTAGCCTGCAGTGACCTTCCTCTAGTCAGCATCTATCTCGCTACATCTGCTACTAATGGTACAAGTATTGACTGCAGTGACCTTTCTCTAGTCAGCATCTATCTCGCTACATCTGCTACTAATGGTACACGTATAGACTGCAGTGACCTTCCTCTAGTCAGCATCTATCTCGCTACATCTGCTACCAATGGTACACGTGTAGCCTGCAGTGACCTTCCTCTAGTAGGCATCTATCTCGCTACATCTACTACTAATGGTACATGTATAGACTGCAGTGACCTTCCTTTTGTCAGTATCTATCTCGCTACATCTGCTACTAATGGTACACATGCACAGACAGTATTGACCTTCCTCTAGTAGGTATCTTTCTCGCTACATCTACTGCCAATGGTACACATGCACAGACAGTATTGACCTTCCTCAAGTAGGTATCTTTCTCGCTACATCTACTACCAATGGTACACATAGACAGTCAGTATTGACCTTCCTCTAGTAGGTGTCTATCTCGCTATATCTGCTACCAATGGTACACATGCACAGACAGTATTGACCTTCCTCTAGTAGGTATCTATTTCGCTACATCTACTACCAATGGTACACATGCACAGACAGTATTGACCTTCCTCTAGTAGGTGTCTATCTCGCTATATCTGCTACCAATAGTACACATGCACAGACAGTATTGACCTTCCTCTAGTAGGTATCTATTTCGCTACATCTACTACCAATGGTACACATGCACAGACAGTATTGACCTTCCCCTAGTAGGTATTAATCCCGCTACATCTACTACCAATGGTACACATAGACAGTCAGTATTGACCTTCCTCTAGTCAGTATCTATCTCGCTACATCTACTACCAATGGTACACATGCACAGACAATATTGACCTTCCTCTTGTAGGTGTATATCTCGCTACATGGTGCACATGCACAGACAGTATTGACCTTCCTCTAGTAGGTGTCTATCTCGCTACATCTACTACCAATGGTACACATGCACAGACAGTATTGACGTTCCTATAGTAGGTATCTATCTTGCTACATCTACTACCAATGGTACACATGCACAGACAGTATTGACCTTCCTCTAGTAGGTATCTATCTTGCTACATCTGCTACCAATGGTACACATGCACAGACATTATTGACCTTCCTTTAGTAGGTATCTATCTCGCTACATCTACTACCAATGGTGCACATGCACAGACAGTATTGACCTTCCTCTAGTAGGTGTCTATCTCGCTACATCTACTACCAATGGTACACATGCACAGACAGTATTGACGTTCCTATAGTAGGTATCTATCTGGCTACATCTACTACCAATGGTACACATGCACAGACAGTATTGACCTTCCTCTAGTAGGTATCTATCTTGCTACATCTGCTACCAATGGTACACATGCACAGACAGTATTGACCTTCCTCTTGTAGGTGTATATCTCGCTACATCTACTACCAATGGTACACATGCACAGACAATATTGACATTCCTCTAGTAGGTGTCTTTCCATCTACATCTGCTACCAATGGTACACATGCACAGACAGTTTTGACCTTCCTCTAGTAGGTATCTATCTCGCTACATCTACTACCAATGGTACACATGCACAGACAGTATTGACCTTCCTCTAGTAGGTATCTATCTCGCTACATCTACTACCAATTGTACACATGCACAGACAGTATTGACCTTCCTCTAGTAGGTGTCTTTCTCTCTACATCTGCTACCAATGGTACACATGCACAGACAGTATTGACATTCCTCTAGTAGGTGTCTTTCTCTCTACATCTGCTACCAATGGTACACATGCACAGACAGTATTGACCTTCCTCTAGTAGGTGTCTTTCTCTCTACATCTGCTACCAATGGTACACATGCACAGACATTATTGACCTTCCTCTAGTAGGTATCTATCTCGCTACATCTGCTACTAATGGTACACATGCACAGACAGTATTGACCTTCCTCTAGTAGGTATCTTTCTCGCTACATCTACTGCCAATGGTACACATGCACAGACAGTATTGACCTTCCTCAAGTAGGTATCTTTCTCGCTACATCTACTACCAATGGTACACATAGACAGTCAGTATTGACCTTCCTCTAGTAGGTGTCTATCTCGCTATATCTGCTACCAATGGTACACATGCACAGACAGTATTGACCTTCCTCTAGTAGATATCTATTTCGCTACATCTACTACCAATGGTACACATGCACAGACAGTATTGACCTTCCTCTAGTAGGTGTCTATCTCGCTATATCTGCTACCAATAGTACACATGCACAGACAGTATTGACCTTCCTCTAGTAGGTATCTATTTCGCTACATCTACTACCAATGGTACACATGCACAGACAGTATTGACCTTCCCCTAGTAGGTATTAATCCCGCTACATCTACTACCAATGGTACACATAGACAGTCAGTATTGACCTTCCTCTAGTCAGTATCTATCTCGCTACATCTACTACCAATGGTACACATGCACAGACAATATTGACCTTCCTCTTGTAGGTGTATATCTCGCTACATGGTGCACATGCACAGACAGTATTGACCTTCCTCTAGTAGGTGTCTATCTCGCTACATCTACTACCAATGGTACACATGCACAGACAGTATTGACGTTCCTATAGTAGGTATCTATCTTGCTACATCTACTACCAATGGTACACATGCACAGACAGTATTGACCTTCCTCTAGTAGGTATCTATCTTGCTACATCTGCTACCAATGGTACACATGCACAGACATTATTGACCTTCCTTTAGTAGGTATCTATCTCGCTACATCTACTACCAATGGTGCACATGCACAGACAGTATTGACCTTCCTCTAGTAGGTGTCTATCTCGCTACATCTACTACCAATGGTACACATGCACAGACAGTATTGACGTTCCTATAGTAGGTATCTATCTGGCTACATCTACTACCAATGGTACACATGCACAGACAGTATTGACCTTCCTCTAGTAGGTATCTATCTTGCTACATCTGCTACCAATGGTACACATGCACAGACAGTATTGACCTTCCTCTTGTAGGTGTATATCTCGCTACATCTACTACCAATGGTACACATGCACAGACAATATTGACATTCCTCTAGTAGGTGTCTTTCCATCTACATCTGCTACCAATGGTACACATGCACAGACAGTTTTGACCTTCCTCTAGTAGGTATCTATCTCGCTACATCTACTACCAATGGTACACATGCACAGACAGTATTGACCTTCCTCTAGTAGGTATCTATCTCGCTACATCTACTACCAATTGTACACATGCACAGACAGTATTGACCTTCCTCTAGTAGGTGTCTTTCTCTCTACATCTGCTACCAATGGTACACATGCACAGACAGTATTGACATTCCTCTAGTAGGTGTCTTTCTCTCTACATCTGCTACCAATGGTACACATGCACAGACAGTATTGACCTTCCTCTAGTAGGTGTCTTTCTCTCTACATCTGCTACCAATGGTACACATGCACAGACATTATTGACCTTCCTCTAGTAGGTATCTATCTCGCTACATCTGCTACCAATTGTACACATGCACAGACAGTATTGACCTTCCTCTAGTAGGTGTCTTTCTCTCTACATCTGCTACCAATGGTACACATGCACAGACATTATTGACCTTCCTCTAGTAGGTATCTATCTCGCTACATCTACTACCAATGGTACACATAGACAGTCAGTATTGACCTTCCTCTAGTCAGTATCTATCTCGCTACATCTACTACCAATGGTTCACATGCACAGACAGTATTGACCTTCCTCTTGTAGGTGTATATCTCGCTACATCTACTACCAATGGTACACATGCACAGACAGTATTGACGTTCCTATAGTAGGTATCTATCTGGCTACATCTACTACCAATGGTACACATGCACAGACAGTATTGACCTTCCTCTAGTAGGTATCTATCTTGCTACATCTGCTACCAATGGTACACATGCACAGACATTATTGACCTTCCTTTAGAAGGTATCTATCTCGCTACATCTACTACCAATGGTGCACATGCACAGACAGTATTGACCTTCCTCTAGTAGGTGTCTATCTCGCTACATCTACTACCAATGGTACACATGCACAGACAGTATTGACGTTCCTATAGTAGGTATCTATCTCGCTACATCTACTACCAATGGTACACATGCACAGACAGTATTGACGTTCCTCTAGTAGGTATCTATCTTGCTACATCTGCTACCAATGGTACACATGCACAGACAGTATTGACCTTCCTCTAGTAGGTATCTATTTCGCTACATCTACTACCAATGGTACAC